GTATTTTTAATATAGTGTAAGGACAAATGTATATTGCTGGTCTTTGACCGTAATAAAGATCTTACTTACTTACATATAATGATAAAAGATTTTTAAAGATCAATATTCAGCTGAAATCAGAACATTTCTTGTTGGCATTAATGGGCAATCAATTAGAAAAGGATCAAGGATCAAGGATGTGGAAGAAAAACAAGTATGCTTACCTGGCTTATCAATATACTACATAAATTGCTTTAATGCCTCTAACTAAGAAACTGGTTTATTTCTGTTAATAAACAAAGGAACAAATGTACTTTGTTTTGGATCATTTCCTAACAACCAAAGCCCTAACACGAGGGACAATATTTTGTCCTGTCAGGATTGCTATGAGCCTGCAGCTTCACTTATTAAATTTACTATACCATACTAAATGTTGTCCTATTTTGGCCAAGAACCATTTGTCTATGGAAATGGATTCTGCCTCTCTACTGCTCCTAAAGTCAATTCAGATTATTTTGAATATTATTGTCCATGTCATCAAGTTTTAAGCATAGATGGCTCAATAAAATGGTTTGAAATCATACTGTTTAAAAAAAATTACTATGAAAATAGTATTCAAATATAATACTTATATTTTAACAATAAGACAACAAAAGTCAAATTCTGTTTTACTTTTACTCTAAGTTCATACCGGAAACACTAATTAGCTATATTTGCTGACAGAAATCACATTAAACCACTTGAGTGTAAAGTAAACCTCAAACAATTGATAATATTTCATTGTTATAGCTGGTAACAGTGTGATTTTGCTTTTAGCCTAGCTGAGGTGCAAGGATTTGCCCTACCTTGAAGGCTTCAGCTGAAACTACAAATCTGCTCTTTTAACTGACCTACTTAACTGGAAAGTTTTTTTGAAAATATGAAGTATAATGAATTCGCCATATGACTTTTCATAATATTTTATTGTTACTGAGTTGTAACTTTATCATATGACATCTTAAAATATTTTTCGGTTAATGAGTTTGAGGGAAAGATGTTGTTATTCCAAAATCGAGCCAGACTTTTCTTCCTTCATAACTTATTCACAATCTCATTTTTTCCTAATTGTCAAAGGGTTAAATTGCACTTCTATTCATCATTTTTTTTTGTTTTTCTAGCACTTTCCATCTTGCATAAATACTGACAGCTATTTTGATACTGTAAAAGAATCCTAAAATAAACATTCTATAAAACTACAAAAGAATATATGGTTGTAACATGTTTTTAAAAGATATACAAATTCTAACAACTAGTCAGGATGGAATATGAGCAACCAGTTACTGATAACAAATTTATATAGTGAATCAAACAGAGACAAGAGAGATGAATAAAAACAAACTGTTTTTATTTAATAGCTCCTCCCAAAAAAAGCAGATATTACTTAATTTGCTTATTTTTCTGATATTATATTTCACTGATTCACTTGTATTGTTAAATGGGACAGAAAAAATACACAATATTCACAGTGTACTTCAAAAATAGATGGACCAACTTTTTCCAAAGTTCTTTGAATTGTTTAAAATTAGGGATTTTTTTTAAAAAAATGTGATGGATATCTGGTTCTATAAAACCATGCCTTGCTAGAATTGACCCTAAGAGTTGGGACTAAATACAGTTTCTGTCTTTTAAAAAAGTGATCTACATAATCATTATCCAAAGGCAGAAATATGGAATTTCTGTTTCTTAAGAATTACATAAGCTTTGGATGGTAGAGCAGGGCTGCACTACTGAACTCTAGGATCAAGCACGTCTGAGGAAATTGCAGGAGTTTTAAGCAATGAACGGGGAGAGATGTAAGCATCCACAAGGCTTAAAGCTCTCATTTTGTGCTTTTAAATCCCACAAGTTTCCTTAAACACAAAATATTCCAATATTCAGGCCCCACAAACATTGCAGACTTTGGATGTCACAAAATGATTATGGGAGGCTATATGTAGCATTGAACCTCACAATATACATCCTTGTCTTAACATAACAAATGAAGCATAATCTATTTATCTATCTATCTATATCTAACACACACACACAGAGGGAGAGACTTCTGATACAAACTATCTATCTATCTATCATATATATATTTCATTCTTCATGGAATACAAAAGCTAATATTCATTTTAGTATATCCTATTTCAATTGAATTACAAACTAGAGAGTAATTAGTAATGCTATTGCTACTTCATCTGTTCCAAATTCTTTTCTACTCACCAATAGGTTTAAAAAAAGTTGCAGCCAGATACGTCTATGAAAGATGTTGCCTTTATCCATCACTTCAGCTGGAAGTACCATTTTCAGTACTCAGCAATGTAGCTTTCAAGTCTATTGAACTAGAGATCTGTCAAGCCCAGTGATGTATCACTGGGAAGTGAGAGTGAAATGAAAAAAGCAAACCAGACTAATAAATGAACAGCAGGAAGCAACAGGTTTATTATGCAGAAAGTGAATGGGGCTGCTTTTTTCCTAATTCAAGCTTTGAGTATCTAAGGTAAAGTACTAGTCATTAACTCAGTTCTCCTACTAAATTTGAAGAGGGCTTGTCCTAAAAGAAACTTGTGGAACGTGCTCAGTTTCATTTCAGAGTTCTCATCCTGTTCTAAAATCCTGGAGGGTGGAAAAAGTAGGGTGAATTAGGACCAGAATTTGCCCTTCCCTCCTCAGCTGCTAGAAGGAAATTGTTCTTCATTTCATAGAATTCCACCAATCTAGTTATGAGAAATAGTGCTGGAATGACCCTCCAGCTGAAACATTTTTGCTTGCCAATGAAGTCCTCAGTCCCCTCCTCTTCTCTTCCTATTAGTTGAATAGAACATAACTCTACCCTGTAGAATAGATACAACATTCTCTCCTTTTTGCCTAAGGTTTTTGAGTGTTCCTTATTAAGTACTTGTAGTTATTTTAAACATCTGCCTTATAATATTTATTTGTAAACATAAGCATAAACATAAAAATCTTGTTTCAGATTTTTTTTCCAAACTCTCCTATGGCTCACCACAAATTTCAGTTAGCTAGGATGCTGTAAACAATATAAGGACAGATTAAGGGCGGAACTAATGCAGATTTCTTAACTGAGTATTCTCAATTTGTACTTGACTGTTATATCCAGTCCATTTTACTTTCCAGATAATTAATCTGTCAGCTCCTCTCCATTAGTTAATTAGGAAAGAAAGACCATGAGACTCCANTGTCGACCTCACTCCATTCCTAAGAGGTCTGTAAGAGTTGTGCATAAGCGCACCAACGTGCCTACCATCCCTGTCCTAATGTCCCTTTTTATTTGTATCCATTTCATGTATCCAAAATCAAGTTTATACTTATATATGTTATCTAATACATGCTTGACAAAATAAATAAAATAAAATAATAAATAAGTAGTAATTGTGAAACT